AAGAAGTTATTTAACATTTAGAATAAATAAAATTATAATATTGAAAAATAATTGTAATATTGAAAATAAAATAATTAAAAATAAATCAATTATATACAATAATTACAAAGAAATATGCCAATGCATAAAAATGTATATAATATGTGAAGAAATATATAAAAAATTTTATTTAAAACAGTATAAAATGCAAGTGAAGTATTAAGAATGGTGAAGAGATAATTAATATATTTATTGCATTTTTTAAAATTATATCTTAAATCTTTAATTTTTTATTAAAAACATACAAATTGAAAAGATTTTGTTGAATGTGATTTTACTTTTTTTATTTTTGTTTATATTAAAAATTATAAAAATACATGGTAACACAAGTCCAATTAGATTTATATTTTGACAAATATTGTTATAATATGGAGATGCGACATTTTTTATCGGGATTACTTCTTTGTGGGCTTATTTTTAATTTAACCCTTTAAAGACTGATGTCCGTCTGGGACTGCATTTGTCGCGCCCGCAGGAATAATCTGCGGAATTTCCTTCTTCGCACGTCTTGCGAATTTGTCTATCACACGTGACAAGCGTAAATCCTTGCTGACAAATTGCAGAGCGCGAAGATAGGTACGCACGTTACTTCGGCACGTCCGCTCGATCGTAGCGGGCTGAAAACGCGCTCGGCTCGAAGGTGAAAAAGGGAATTAGACGCGAAATTTGCAGACGCGGCGAAAATGAAAAATGATACGTTACTTATGCATCAATTACACAGGCCCGATCGAAGGCTATCAATCACAAGGAACAAACGCGAAGTGTATCTTCATTTTGTAGCGCGGGCTGTATCACGCGGGGCTAATCGCCGAAATTTCGGGCGAATCACTTGCACTCCCGGAGCAATGGCGCTTTTAAGCTCCGGCCGCCGGCGTATCGCACGGCGGCGATCAATCACCGGCACAATTGCTTGTATTCGGGGCGCGAGATTGAAGAAAAAGCTTCCACCGACGGATTGCCAACAAAACCCGAGACGAGCAAGCGCCTTATCTGTTATCACAGAACGTGTTATTCGGAGCATGTTCAAAGATCGGACTGTCACGAATAATAATACGTATAATCCTCGACAAAGCGAAGATTAATATGCCAACAGAACTTTGATAATGCTTCCATCGGAAATTCATCAAACGTAATAGAAATATGCTTTAATCCGGGAAATATCGCAACTTAAATTCTATGTCAGTTTAGTTGTCAGAAATACCTTCTTTTAAGTATAGCTTGATATAAGATATGGGGCAGATAAATGATGATAAAGCGATCTTCCCGCGAGCAAGAATCGCTCGGAAGACTTTCTGGATTCTCGCGGAAGTTATTTTATACATGTCTGCCGTTTTATAAATCGTTCTTTAAATATATTTTCTTAAGAACATAGCTTTTGTGTGAGCAAAGGTACGAGGTAAATAAATTGTGATATATCGATTCTTTCACAAGCAAAAATTGCTCGAAAGAATCTCGCAATCTTCGGATTTTTCACCAAAATCTCTATATACACGTCCACCGTTTTATAAATCATTACGAAACGTCGTCGGCGGCCAAAATTACATGGCGTTGCTCGATACGATCGATCGATCACTCGCGACGCAAAGCGCGCGCTAAATTGCTTCCGAACGACGAACGACGAACGAATGTCACGTTGTCGTTGCTGTTGCTGTTACTATTACAGCCAACGCTATCGGCGTAGCCGATATCGATTCGCCTAAACAAGATCACCGTCGCCAAATATCGCGATATATATCGGCTCGCTGACGTTTGCGTATTTTCTGGACAATCGGCAAGATCAGAGATACACCCGAAATTTTCACAAACCTGTATTAAAGGTTGTCAACATAGATGACAACTGGGAAGGTTTAAAAAAAAACAAAAGGACTAAAAAAAGTAAATTTTAAATTAAAACTAAAAAATAGTTCTAAAATAATCTGTCTTTATATAAACATTTGTACATTGAACATCTTTTATAAATTACTTATCTGTGAGTTTATTATTCGCAAATTTAAAGTCGCTTTCTTTTTCATCGTCAAACATAATCGTCAAAAATATATTCTGAGTTCTTTATTAAATAAACAACTAAAATTGATTTATCTGTAAAAATTTTTGCACATTTTAACAAAACTGATAGACCGATAATTTCAAAACATTCTTAGCGACATTAACACTAGTAGTAAAGTACTAATATCTAAAATATAAGCTAGCAGCCGAGAGGCTTAACGTGAGGGTAGGGTAAGAAAGTATACGATACACCTTACAATTTTTTTTCTTGTCCGGTGATTTGGAGATCTTCAATTTTCCGCAAGAGTTGCGAAGATGAAAAGGTTAAGGTCGGCGTAACGTCTTGTGACGAAGTAGAAAATTGAAGAGCAAACGCCCGAGGAACTATATATATAAAAGCCTATAGCTGTTCCGAGTAATGATAGCGAGTAGATGATACGGAGAGAGATAGAGCGACTTCTCTGATAGAAGTCACGGCAGATAGCAATCTCGTAATCTCCCCTCGTATTCGACACAGGCAGATATAGTAACGATGAAATAGTCGCGTTATATTCATAGCGACTGTTACTACTGTGAGAGCAATATCCACTTGCGTAAATAGGATTGCGACGATTGTCAGACATAGCGCGGCGCGCATCAGAATGTCAATGAATCTACCTTACATCCGCGAGTTTGATTGCGCAAAAGCTAACGGTACAGCGTAAAAGTTTTATGATTTAAATAAAGATTATTATTACGAACACATTTTCAAAAGTAAGTTGAATCTATAATTTTAAGGCAATAATAATAATCTAAGGCACAAACATGCCGGTAAAAGATGTCTTTTTTTTTTACACACAATGTGTTTGCAAACTAGCTTTATGCTCGTAATTATTTTAGTGCATAATTTGTTCTGACTGATCGCTTGTTATAAATTTAATATTTCTAAATACAATTAAACAACTCCTTTTCAGTTTCATTTATATGTTGACGTGAAATTTTTAATTTATACTATATTGTCGAACAATGTAGTTGAGCTATGCAATTTTTTTTTATCTCTCTCTTTAACTCTCTCTTCTCTATTTTATGAAAGAATCCAATTTAAAGCAAATAAATACTTGTAAATAAAACAGATTCGTAATCATATAAATAGAAATTTCTCGATGCTAAATTTCGTTGGATGACAGAAAGCGCGCCGAGCGAAGTTTATAAAAGAGTTATTTATCGTGAGTTTCCTTATAAACTTCGATTGTGATCGATGCCATAGGGAAAACGAAACATATCGGAAACTTCGCCAGCGTTTTCGCAAATAAAAGTACACTCGTGCACGCTCGCGAAATGAAATTCCTACTAAACCTGCGGCACTTTATTTTCCAAAAATACGCGCCGTTACACCACGCACAAAAAAATTACACATCGTTATTATCATGTGATTCTCGTCGCGCGAAATATTTCCAAGTGAATGGAATGCGCATGCAAATTTTTGATTTTTGTTTTATCCCGGCAATTATTAAAATGACATTTCCAATTGGAAAATGTATGAATTATGTAACGTCACTGAAAAGTTTTGCTGCCAAAAATGTATGTTCTTTTATTACAGAAATATATGAACTAAATACGTTGTATCGATTTATAGCGGTATTTCTGAGATTTACATTTGTACATACATTCCAAAATTAAAAATAATTCAAACGTTCTGTCTTATCGCGTAACATTTTTAGATTTGAGACTTTGATTGGCCATTTATTAGCACTTTCTAAAGTTCCTGAATATCCCATAAAATTTCCGACCGCACTTCTTACGTCTACATTTAAATCCTCAATCCGACCCGAGGAGATCATCCTGTTCCGTTCCGAGTCATAAATCCAACGCAAAGCGAACGCTCCGCCTCGTCGGCATGTCGATTCACCCTCGACACGACCGACAAACCTGTGTTCACCTTTACATTTCCCGCCCACCATGCGTATACATCCGTTCCGGCTTGACTTACTTATCGTTAACACGACCGTTTGTTTTCTCCCTCACAGAAGCGGAGAACGGCGCCATCGAGCATGGCGTTAATCATCTCGACGAAGAAGATCAACGCTTCGACGAGAGAATCGCGAAGAATCGTACTGTCGAAACCGCTGGCTGGTCTCGCGGCAACGACACAATAGCCCTCGAGGAAGTCATTTCCGCTTTTACGATTGACTACTCGAGCTCAACGAGGGACTCACCCTCGCTCATTACCGTGATAAATACCCGTTTCGAGAACGCGTCGAACAAATACGTAGCAGACGATCACATGATATTCGCCTCGAAGAGGATCGAGGATTCAGAACAGGCGGAGGAGGCGTTGGCGAAGAAGTTGGAGCACGAAGACGTCCGAAGGACGAACGAGTCCACGATGGAAAAGTCTAAGGACGACTGGTCGACGATGATATCGATGGAAAGGGAGGAAGACGTCACGGAAGTGAGGTATGGCGAGCAGAGAAATATACAAGACATCAGAGCGATCTCGTTTCAAGTACCACCGCCAGACGAGAAGGGGGAAGATTATCAGAACAGTCGACACGAGAAGACCAGCATTGGTCACATAAACGAAACGAAGAAGCTCGGCGAGACGAGGAAGAATCAGTCCAAACCGGCAAATAATTTGTTACTGACCGGCAAATCGACGAAGGCGTTCTACGAGATTAAACCGTCGATCAGGACACTCGAAACGGAACGAGGACGTGATCATCAGTTCCAGACGACTACTCACAGAACGTTGCCGGGGATAAAGTTCGTCGACAGCGCCTTCGGGAAATTCGGCCCATATTTTGAAGATGGCGACCGGGAGATAAATGTCACCGCGAGAATCGGCAATACCGTTTTATTGGATTGCAAAATCGGCATGCTGGGTAATCGACAGGTAAGTTGCCGCATCCTGTCTTAATCTCATTAACCTTTTTCTCAATAGTCGTTGGGAGGAACGTTGAATAATGGAAAATGGAAATTCGAATCTTTTTATAACTTTACGATCGTACGCAACGTTGCATGACCAGCAAATTATAATAAGAGAAAAAAATTATATTATCAAGACCGATACTCTTGTTTCATCGATAATAATTCATCGTGCGATAATCTGAGATATTGTGTAACGAGAACGACGAACAACATCGAGGAAACATTCTATATTTTTCTTAGTATTCATTAACGTTTCAATTTTAAATAATTTATATTAAAACTCTTTTTTTTTTATAAATTATACATATATTATACAATTTTTTTCATACAATGTAATTTGAAATCAATTTCCTTTATCTTCTCGTAAGGAAATAATTAAAACTTGTATATACGATTCAGGGAAATTAAAGATCTAAAGATTGCGCGAACTCCATTAGTGCAGTCGGAAAGATCGTATATTTTTCTTCATTAAATAACGCGAATCAACGGGAAAGTGCAACGATTGAGAATGGCGGATACGAAAGTACGAGAAAGATGCAACGACGAATAAGCAGAGCCGCGGATTATAATTGCAAACATCGTTTGTTAGTGTCCGTTACGTGTACGCTCTCGTCTGTCTTGTCGTTGCGTAAGTTTTCGCATTTCAATCAGTGGCCGTCTCTCGGTATCTCCTGTCTCGTTCGTGATTTCTATGTCCATTTGCTCTTCGTCGCGGTCGGGCGGTTCGAAGTTTCCAGGCCGCTCGAGACGCCCGAGCGCCCGAGAGATTCCCGTGGGATTCATATTCCACGGAATACGTAATGCAAAACCGATTGCGGTGGAACGGCGAATGTCCAAGAAACGAAAAACGAGTGCTTTTGATTCGATGCGTGTGTGCACGTAAATGTGATTTAGATAAGTATAAAAGATATACAGCGTGCTATGCGTACAGTGTGCGCGCTCCGAGAATAATAAACATCTTGAACTTAATTATGAAATATCATTCGCGCCAAGTTTGCCAAGTCGTCTCTTTTCAGTAAAATGGCTAAACTTGAAAATGTCGAGACGAATAATTACTCGAGAAAATATTTGTTTGTATTAAACGTTTACTCGCAATCACTTGCAACTTTTTAAGTGGAATTGATTTATATATATAATACATATATCTATATATATTATATAATACATATATCTATATATTCCATTATTTTATTGTTTATTTATACGAAACGCATACCTACAATTATACCGAATGATATCATTTCAATTCAATATCATGAAAATACTTTGTCTTAAATAGTGAAATATGAATAGAATTGAAAGCGTTCGACTAAAAACGTTGCCAGTTTCAAATTAAGATCTGTTATTCTTTTCGCATGTTAATGAAAGGAGAAAAATAGAATTATATCAATTATAAAACATGTAAGATTATCTTGAACTTTTAAAATAAAAATGCAAATGGTAGTTTATATTCAACTGTTATTTAATTAAAAAATACAGCAAAGTAAAAATTTTTCTTAGAGTAATCTTGAATTATATTAGATTTACTTTAAATATTTATTCACTAAATTGATATTAAAAATTTTTACATATATTTTTCCTTCTCTGCATTATGCTATCCTCTCTTAAATAAAAGTTGAAGCCTCGTTAATTCCATCGTGTTGAAGCGGCTCTTTTTGAACTCACTAACTTTCATCGAGATAACTTTCTCGACAAATTTAATTCGGACGACACGCACCGTAAGGAGCCGTCGACTCGCTCAGAAATTATTTTCCCCATTTCCTTTCCGGTGCAAGTTCTCCGTAACATAATTCGGCGCGTCTACGAAATTCCCCCGAATACCGGTTAATATTTCCGTTGTGGGTGTTAAGTTTTCGTGAGACAGACTTTTATCCGCAATGACAAACCGTGATAACTTGTCCCTAGATATCCCGTTATTACCGGTTGGCACGTATGGTACGAGATCGAATTTCGAAAGAAAGCTTTGTGCAGAAAGAGAATATAACAGAAATATCGCTAGACAACATAAGCGTCTGAAAATTACGCTATGTACTTTTCAGTTTTGTTACAATGGTTATGAATTTATTCTTTATGAATTTATTCTTTATAATCCGTAAAATCTTTATTTTATTTATAAGTTAAATAGATTATGGTTATGATTATATTTTTTTAATTTTTATTTAGAATATATAATAAAAATAAATTTCGAATATTTGATGATCAAAAAGAAAAATAAATGAGAATTTGAAAAAGGCATAAAGCCAAAGCATAAAAAAAGATAGAAGAAATAAAACATAGTGCTCTTTACTGAAATATTTATAATATAAACTTTGAATATTTTTTCATTCATTCTTTTATAAAAAAATTTATTATGAGCTTGATTATTTAATTTTTACATATCTTTTATATCTAATAATTGTATCGTGTAAACGAGCTCTAAATCAACATTTTTGCGAGCGAATTCGAAGCTCCGTATAAATTGTCTGCATTTATTGCTGACATACACGAAGCTTTGCAGAAATTGCTTGCTGTCTTTTTTTGAAAATCTAAGAGCAAAAGGAATTATTAATTTTCAACACAATTTCTTGAAATGTATTTCCCTTATATTTGTCTCGGAGATTGTAGTAATTGATTAAAGAACTTGAATATTTTTGAATAATCATAAAATGTATAAAAAATAATCATTTAATTTTGATAAAAATAATAATAATAAAGACATAACGCATTAAAACTTAATTAATTAACTTAAACTTAATATTAAAACTTAATAAAAAAATTTACGGAAGAGTATAAACAATCATCTTTCTTTTTATAGGTGACATGGATACAGATTAATAAGGATTCTTTTCGTCTATTGACAGTGGGCTTAACGCCATATAGCAATGATCAAAGGATCAGTCTTCATTATCGGTAAGTCGTAATAATCTTTCCTTATTTATCTCGACATCGACTTTATGAAGAAATAATCGAGAAACTGAAATCATCTTCGTATAATTTTATCATCTTCGAAGTAGAATTTCATAGTATTACAGCACGATTGCAACGATGAGTGAAATTCAGCGGCGAAATTGTCAACGTTATTACCATAATTCGTTATCATTCGCGGCAGTCCGGGCAGTGAGTCGTGTAATCGCATCATCAGCGTCGAATTATCATCACAGTTGATTTTTACCATCATCGGAATAAACTCGACGTCGCCGCGTTGACGAGGATAAAAGAACTTCTTTCTCTCGTATTTCTTCATCGGGATTAAATCAGCCGTTTTATGCGCCATAAAAATCAGAGTCGACCGCATTATATAACGCAAAGTTCCGCATTCTGCGAACGTTACTCTCCCTCCAATGAAGCGGAGAGTATTATTAGGGATTTTAATTGGAAAATAAAATGTCAATTCTTCTTTCTTTATATCTTAGTTGTATTTCATTGCAAATCACAAGTGTAATTTACGTCAGTGTCAGGAAATTTGTAGTGATTTTCCTTTTTAATAAAAGTCGAACTATAAGTCCAACCATTTTCTACACCACTTTGTTCTTTCTTGTCTGATCTCGCAGATATCCCAGCAATTGGAGACTACAGATATTATACGCGAACCCGCGCGACTCGGGTTTGTATCAGTGCCAAGTCGCCACACATCCGCCGTTGGTTAAGAAAATCAACGTCATTGTTACGGGTAAGTTGGAGCCAGCCCCAAAGATAGAATTTTATTTTGGAAGCGGTAATGCTCCGATAATTGATATTCTCAGCAAAAAATTGTTTAAACAACTTATAATCTATTAATGATACTTATATTTTGTCAGCGATTCAAGATTGAACGGCTCTTTTAATAGTATCTCTACCTCCTCGCGAATTTTCTCATAATTTTCCTACCTAATCGAATTCTTATTTTGTGCTGGCTAATCCAGAGGGGGTTCCTAACTCGCGATCCAGATCCAGATGAAAAATGTATTCAGAAATTTAACTAATATTTAAAAATCTATGTTCAGCCATAAATGGCATTTTATTATTCCCCCCCCCCCATAATTATTTCCCCCGTGCAATCACACGTGTGTATAAAAATCTTTACCAACAATCCAATATTATTAATTAACCTTTGTGAGTCTTCAGACCAGATTGAACTTTTGTTGTTTCTGGCCACATTGCTCCATCGTCGATCTATAGCCAAAGATTTTAGCCGTGTTGCCAGAGATTCTGGCCATATATATCCAGAAATGATAGGAAGGAGATATATTCCTTCAATTACTGACCAATTATCAATGTCGAATTCTTTGCTCGATTTTTATACGCGCACGTTGATCATAAAATCGTGTCGATTGCGAAGGCCATCCAAATATTAATAACATTTGAAATTTGTAATAACAATTTTTAAAGTTAATTTATTAATAATGCCGCGTTTTTTCGCAATATACGTGATTAATCTTCAAAGAAATTTGATTATATTGATTACGAACAAAATTTAAGAAAATTGAATGTTAAATTAAAAATATATTGCAGAAAAATAAAAAAATGAAAATAAAAACGATTTTATCTACATAATTAATAATATATATTTAAACCGAAAAAATCTAAGGCCTTTATATTATTCGTCCGTATTATTCGCGTACGATGAAAATCATTATTTAAATCTCATGAAGTAGATGAGAACGACATAAAAGATTCAAAATGAATGACGTGAGATTCGAGCGAGGCAATAAATTTCTCGCATAATTAGCACGTCAATATTACGCAATATACAAAATTTTACAAATTATGATATTAATATAATTTCTAAATACTAGCTATTGCATATGCATCTACAAACTTTATCAAATATAATAACATGAGTAATAAATTTAATATAAATGAGAAATGTAAATGAGAAAATCTAGTATGTGTAGATTGTGTTAACAATACTTGTATTATGTCAAGATTTAAATTAAAAATAAACTTTTAAAAGATTTTAATGTAACTTTTAAAATATTCCAATGTAAAACAAACATATTTTAAGTGAAAATAAATAAATAATTTATTAATTTATGATGAAAATAAATTAATAATTTATGATTATCAATTTGTATTCCGTGAGACGAAACATTTATTGAATCTCACGTCATATTAAATTTTGCTTTAACTTATGTAAAGCCAAGTTATTAATTAATATAAATGGATAGATTATACATAACTAAGGTCAAATCGGCATATTTGTTATATAATTTATTATTATTGTTTATTAATCATTTATTTATATTTGTGATATTAAATGTGACATTAAATTAAAAATTTATTAAAAAATATCTGTATTCTATACATATCTCTTTTATGTATCGATTTAAATATTTAATCCTGATAAAATCGGAAGAGGAAAGATAGATAAATAAAAACATATATAATATATTCATTTATATTCTTATTACATATACATATAAAATGAATATATAAGTGTATGAATATATAAGTGTACTTTTCATAATCTTTGTTTCTGTTTTCATATTAAGAAATTTATATTATAAAAATATCTAAATGAAAATTTGTTTTTAAAAAATATTAATTATTTGATTGAATTTCTTTTACACAATGCTATTATTGTTAAATATTTGAGAAACTCGAAAATTTAATGAATTTAATAAATTCAATACATTACTATATTTCCAGAACAGAGAAAAGAAACAATAAATTAAATTCTATTATTTTAAAATTGTCTATATTACTTTACATGTTATGTATGTATATATTTTATTTCTTAAAGCAATTAAATTATTTAAATTATTTTACTTATATCTTTTTGTGAAATTGATAACTTTTAGGCATTTAATACGTCTCCCAAATAAAATACGAAAAACAACATAAAATAATGAAATATCGACACAATGAACTCTTTCATGAGCTCTATGTGTCTATACATATGCATTACGATGCAATAAATCAATAAATGGCGTCATACCAGGATTAAATATCTCAAACTGTTTAAGTCTATCCATTTTAGGGCAACGAATCTGTAAAAATATATTCAATTGCAATACTTTTATAAATATAAATATATAAAAATAATATAAGACAAGCTTTACAGATTTGTAACCCCAATAAAAAAAATTCGTCACTCACCGACTCGATGCGCAACAGCGAAGTGAATCTGCCACGTAGCTACGATGATTCTGTAACAAAAACGGAACATTCAAATTACAGCAAAGCTCTGAATGATCGAAATTTTAAAAAGTAATTTTTACACATATCAAATCTACATATATTGTTTTTTAATTAACATAACTTTAAAAAAAAATCTCTATAGAAATAAAGGTGTATAAAATTTTAAACTTTTTTCCTTTCCTGAACTATAAATTTTAAATTATCGAAATTTAATCCAAGTAAATGTGAAACCGATTAATTTTATGTTGGCAAAAATGTATACTTACCGCAAGGTTGCTCCGCCGGTGCTCGATGCCTTTCCTAGGCCTCCTCCTCCTCTCAAGGATTGTCAGATCTCCTCGCAGCATAGGACACTCGCGAAAAACACTCGTGAATTATTATAATCGCGCGCGGACTAATTTCACTTGTACGGCACTCCCAAAGCAATCGCGTGGCGCGACGAACTGGCTGCAGTTCGTTTATTTCACTTAATTAAATCAGCGGCGGAAAAATGATGGTCGGTGATGAAAACCGATCGATTAATGCGTGAAACGCATTTGCCACATAAGAGCCACTGAGCGACTCGTGGCTATGCTGTGTTAGTACATTATTAATAACAATAATATTAATGTTAATATTAATGTTATTAATAACGGTGCAACGGGTACTAGTTGGCTTCTTCGTCTTTGGGATTTCGCTGAGGAATCCAACGGAACCCCTCGGAATACTGAGCCCCTCTGCCACGTCAAGGCCATACCCATCAGAGAGGTTATTGTTTACAAGAAGTTATGAATTTCAAAGAAATAAATCGCGAAATATGTATATAATCTTGTTATAGAGTCGTCGTTTTCGATACGCTTACGAATCGTTAATCATGTCAGTTAATAATCGTTTATTATTACATAAGATATTATTTCATAAGATATAACAATGTTCAGCATTAAAGAGATGTGAAGAAGTGCGGAGCGACGTGCACTGCGACCCGTCCGTATGAACGCCAGTGAATGAATGATAGCACGTGAACGACTCGTGAACGACTCGCGCTACTTGCCGTATGTACACACAATGGGGCGCGGCGTGTAAACATTTCTCAAGGCTGCTCTACTAACAGTCTGACTACGACGAAATATTCAACAATACTACAAATAATATTTTTAACTCACACGAAACATTACGTCTTTTATTAACTAAACAGATAATGTATGTATACATTTCGTTAAAGAATTATCGTTTCGATATACTTATGAATTGTTATTATTCTAACTACAGTTCGTTCACTCACTTAAATCGATCGTGGAATGTCGATTAAAAATCAACGACTAATGCGTGAAACGCATTTGCCACCTAAGAGTCATTGAACGACTCGTGGCTATGCATTGATACGTTATTAATAATATTAATATTATCGACATGACATTAATATTATTAATAACTGTGCAAAATAAATACTTTGACTTCTTCGTCTTTGGAGTACGAAACCCTTCGGAATACTGAGCCCCTTCGCCACGTCAAGGTCGTACCCCATCGGAGGGGTTCGTCATTTACAAAAGTTACAAAAAAATTTTTAAATAATAAGTCGCGTGACACGTGTATATATACTCCATTAAAAAGTCATTCGTTTCGATACGTGTATGAATCGATACGTTAATTAATCATTAATAAACATTTACTATCATATTTATATAATACAGCAATGTTTGGTATTATCGTTTATCAATGGAAGAAATGTGAAGAAACGCGGAGCTCGCACGAACGCTGGTTAGCGAATGAAAGCACGCGGAGCGCTCGTAAACACGGCACGCGCTACTCGTCGTGTGCTAGGCGCGGCGCGTAAACAATTCTCAAGGCTGCGACAGCAACAACGTGTTGTAAGGCGAAATATTCACCAAATTACCTTACAACACATATTACGATATTATTATTATTTAACCGACACAAGGCATTATAACTTTTAGATACATAACTTAACATTGAATGTTATAATCGTTACGTTCTAAATCTATCTTTTGAATAATCTATTCATACATGTGCTTTTTGTTTAAGAGAGTTACGATTAGGTTAAAGATAGATATGTAAATATTTTATATATCTTATATGTATTATAATAATATTATAATAAACAATTGTTATGACAATTATTATAACTAGCTGTACGTATGTGTTACAAAATGTTATGGAAAATATTATACAATACAAAGTTCATAAGAATTTAAAAAGTATCCAATATTAAAGATATTTAGATTAAACTATTGTTAATAAAAATAATCGTTCGTAATTATCGAAATGAATTTATTATTATTATATATTATTATTATTATGTATATTATTTCGATTATAATAGAATAAATTATATTAAATACTTTCAACGATATGTTTGCAAATTTTTATATTCTACACAAAATTTAATTAATATGCTGTAAATATATTAAAAATTAATTTTAAATTCCATTCATAAAAAGTGTAAGACTTTAATTGTTAATGCTATTCTGCGATTTTGATTATTCTTTCGCATGGTCATTTCGTGTTACGAGTAATTGTCAAATGTTAATGTATGTTATTAGTACTTGTGTA